AGTGTTCCATGATTCATTGTTTGTGTATAACACCCAGTGCTCCATTCAGTACGTGCCCTCTTTAATACCCATCACCAGGCTAACCAGGTCATTTTAAGTTTTAAAAGAGATTTAACATGTGAAAATAATAAATATAATTATTTAGCACATAATCGAATTATTGTTTAAAACATGATCCTAGCATCTCTTCATTCACATTTCCTCTTCTGCTTTCCCCAAAAGAATATTTACAGCTAATGATAGGTCCAGTTGGAGGTGCTTCTTGAAACAGCACCCATGGGGTTTGGGGCCCCTCAGAGAGAGAAGCTGTTTTGATGGAAGCAGAGATGACTCACCCCCTGGGGCCACAGGTGTAGAAGCTGTCTTGGTATCACTTGGGAACATCACCTTTCGCTCAGAGACGTGTCTGAGATGGATCTCAGGTCTCTTCTTCTGCAGGCAGGGTGGTGGGGAGGCATCTGGAGCATGGTTGCTGAGAAGCAGAGCTCTCCTCCCGTTGAGGCTTTTTGGGTGAGTGGAGAGCCCTCCTTGCCCAATCTTCCAGCCGCAGCACGGCCTGACAGCGGATCTGGGCACTGAGGGGTCCGCCACTTCCCTGAGTCTAATGCTTCCGTCCGTGCTCGGCATGGACTCACATGGAAGAGACTTTGGGGAGGGCAGCACAGACAAGGGATTGTTACAGAGTTCCGTGTTCACGGGAATGCGTGTCCCAAAGTGTCCAAGAAGAGTCGTCATTGTTTGGGGGAAAGAATGTTGGGTTAGAACTCAGGCAGTTTTTCTCTAGTCTTGGCTGTCACCTGACCTGTAAAATAATATCCAACAAGCCACCCCATGTCATGTTCTAACAGGCAATGAGTATGTGTCCACATGTGGGCATATGTCTGATGTTGGTATAATAGATGTGTGGTACACAATCTACTTATTTATGTGCTATCTCAAAAGATATGCATTTATAACACGCCTGATGTATTTGTAGATATGGTCATCAGCGGCAAATGTGCAGTCCATAGAGTTTTGGATGTGGGAAATGTGCGTGATTCTGTATGAGCACTTTATATGTGGTATGCATGTCTATTGGCATAGTCGTGTGTGTTTGTGGGCACGTGTGCACACTGTGTGTCTTTGTACATGTCCCTACATGCGTGTGAGAATGGATCCATATGTCTGTGTGTCTAATGCTATGAATACCTTTCTGAGGTTGCTGTCTACATTAGAGCTTTCTTTTGGAGTTACAACAGGCACAAAGAAATGAGAATCCACCTCATCCTGCTTTCTAAAGAAGCTAGGCATCTACTGGCAAGGTGGAAGGGACCAACACATCTATCGGGGTGCCGCTCAGGATGGGCCAGCCCAATGCAACCACCTGGAAGGGTTTTGTGTTCCTGGGCTTCTCCAGCATTGGGAAACTGCAGCTCCTGCTGTTTGTACTCTTCCTCTCTCTGTATCTTGTCACCCTGACCAGCAATGTCTTCATTACTGTAGTCATCAGGCTGGACAGCCACCTGCACACCCCCAGGTACCTCTTCCTTTCCTTCCTGTCTTTCTCTGAGACCGGTTACACATTGGGCATCATCCCTCGGATGCTCTCCAGCCTGGTCATGGGGGGCCAGGCCATCTCCTACGAGGGCTGTGCTGTCCAGATGTTCTTCTCTGCTTCGTGGGTCTGCACCAACTGCTTCCTTCTGGCCGTCATGGGCTTTGATAGACATGTGGCCATCTGGCCCCACTGCACTATGCCAGCCGCATGAATCCTACCTCCTGTGCCCAGCTGGTTGGCACCTCCTTCCTGAGTGGGTACCTCTTTGGGCTGGGACTGACCCCGGTCATTTTCCACCTCCCGTTCTGTGGCTCCCATGAGACCCAGCACTTTTTCTGTGACACGCCTCCAGCGCTGAGCCTGGCATGTGGGGACACAGGCCCGAGTGAGCTGGGCATCCTCATCCTTAGCCTGCTGGTCCTCCTGGTGTCTTTCTCCTTCATCACCATCTCCTACGCCTACATTCTGACAGCAGTCCTGCGGATCCCCTCCACTGAAGGGCGGAAGAAGGCCTTCTCCACCTGCGCCTCACACCTCACAGTGGTCATGGTCCACTACGGCTGTGCCTCCTTCATGTACTTGAGGCCCAAAGCCAGTTACTCTCTTGAGCGGGATCAGCTTATTGCTGTCACCGATATTGTGGTGACCCCTCTCCTCAACCCTACTGTTTACAGTCTAAGGAATCGGGCGGTGCAGACAGCCCTGAGAAGTGCCTTCCAAGGGAGACTGCTTCGTAGAAGACGAAGGCTCCCCCAGTGGGACAGTCTCTTCCTCTGGAAGAGACCAGGAACCCAGGCCAATGGGCCAGAGACTCGGCTGGACTGAGACCAGGAACCCAGGCCAGTGGGCCAGAGACTCGGGATTTCAGATCAAAGCTGTCCCACCCCAACCCCTTGGGAGAGCCCCATCCTGCTGCCTGCACTTCCCTGGGGCTGCTGGGAAATACGGAGCAGGCTTTCCCGCTCTGCTCACTGTGCTTAACTCACACTGGGCTCAGAATCTGAATTTCCACTTTCAGCCTCAGGGATGCCACTGCTACAGAAGCCCAGTTCATTCAGAATTTTCCAGCTCTGCTGAGCAAGATGAGAGCAGTTTGGCCTGCTCAAGTTCAAAGCAGGCCTGGCTGGAGCCCTATCAGGGATATGGTAGAGATTTTTAAATTACTGCATAATTAGACTATCCTACCTATAATGCTCTTCCAAGATCTGAAACTCAGTGGGAATCCATTTGATGGATTAGTGTGAATGCTCTGTTCAAGGAAAAGGTAGGTTGTTTTCTCTCCTCCACGGGGTGTCTTTCATCTTTATTTTTTTAATATCATTGTCCTCTCTATCTCTGACTCATTGTCACTTTGTGCTCTTGTTATCGGCTCTCCCAGTTGGTAGATTGTATCTCAGAAAAGACATAGGTTTCCTATTTTCTTTGATACTCGTCATTGCTCTATGATGGCCTCATAATCTTGGGAGTTGAGAGCCTCCTTGTTTGTCTCACTCCCTAGTATGGATACTGTCCTGTGGGATCTGCTGTGGACACGCTCTCCTGTGTAGTACACTTTCCCCCTGCAGTATGTCAAGCACAACACAGGCATTCTTAGGGACAAGTAAAAGTGTAATGAACCCACGTGGCTGTCAGGAGTTTGAACAGAGGCCCTGTAACTTACTGTGTGATGCTAGGACTCAACCCCCATGTCCTCAGCTGTAAAATGGCTGTAACTTTGCAGTTTTGCGTTGCTTACTAAACAGGACCATGCGTGCAAAGAATTTAGCACAATACCTGGATCATAATGATCTTCCAATGTATGTCAGCTGATTTTATTGTTAACGTGCTAAGCAGAGTGATACCTGGCTTTTAGTTTAGGGAGAGGTTAATCTCAGCGGAGAATCAGAGGCTTCATGTCTAAGGTAGTACTTGAATTTGTTACTCACGATGGGTAAGTCTTGAATGCAGTTAAGTGGGAAGAAAGTATATTCTGACAGAGAGAACAGAATAACCGAAGCTTCAGTGGCAAGGCAATCTAGGCCCGTTTCCGAGTGCAGTGAGTTGTCCAGAGGGACTGAAAATGTGTCCCAAATGATGCTAAGTTAGTTTGGGTGAAGACTTCTTTGCAGACAGCAGTTTCAATACCTTGCTTCAGACTTGATCCCTTCAGTAGGGAGAGTAAACCTCTGAGCAGAGAGCAGAGTAGCATCTGGGAACCGATTTCGGAAGATTAATCCAGCAGCAGAGAGGATGACAGAGCTTAGCAGAGAGAAAATGGAGGCAAGGGATCAGTAAGGGATGCATTGCCATCATCCTAAACAAAGACATGGAGACCAGAACATGGATAGTGGGCCTGGAAGCTGAAGAAAATTACAAACGGAAGAGGTTCTGAAAATGCAGGATTCACATAATTCAGCAATGAGTGAGCAGTGGGGCACAATTTGAGAGAAAGAACTTATATTGGGGGGATAATTTTTTCAAATAGGAATCCATATTTTTCCATGCTTTCAGGGAAGAAACACAGCCTCTAGTTAGAACTTCGTGGAAACTAAATTTTGGAGGAAAGAAGCCAGAACCAAGAGAAGAGAACAGGTTGGGGAGAGGTAGGACAGTTAGTCAGATGGCAGAAATGGCCTGGGTCTCAGAGAAATGCTGTGCACTCTCAGATCCTCGTCACTGTACAGACTGGGAGCAATCTCCCTTTTGCACTGAGGCTGTCTGAGCAAATTCATTTCCAAAATCGATTCCGTCCACCTAGCATAACATTCCCTAAATGCACACTGAGCAGCAGTGGGTAAAGATGTTCCAAGAATTGCTAAGTAATACTCAAAGGTGCTTCTAACTTTCAAATGTAGTAGTCTTAAGTTTGAAAGGGCATAAAAATCACATGGGGTGATTTTCAGAGCAAGTGTTCCTGGGAGCCATCCCTACAGACCTAGCCACAATTGATCTGGGGTGGGGACAGGAAGAAATAGTTTACAAAATCTCACTAGGTGATTCAAATTTCCTCCCTTGGTTAAAAAAGTGACCATGTGCTTACAAGGAACAACCTGTCCTCCTAGGCGCACATCCATGCATGCACGTCACACACACACACACAGAGCAGAGGCTCCTCCAATGTGAACAGGACCACATGTGCCCAACTCATGGCCCTTGGACAGCCCATTAAGATGGGAGGCTCTGGAGTCCAATTTCCTGAGGTTAAAGTCTTGCCACCTTTTAGACGTGTGACCTAGAGTGAGTTTCTTCACCTTTCTGCGGCTCCATTTCTCAGATGCAGAATGGAACGAGAGTGGCATCTGTTTTACAGGGCTTTTTAGGTGAAGATTAATGTAGTCTTCAGAGCAGAGAATGCCCCACACAGAGTGCTCAATATAGCCATCCAGTGTTGTTTGGAGTTTCTAGACAGCGACACTTGGGGCTGCCCTATTTGTGGCCCTGTTGATGTTGGTGGAAGCTAGGGCCAGCAGCGTCCAGCATCTTGCATTTCCTGATTTCACTGGACAGGCAGAGTAAAGGGCTGGTGTCTAGCACAGCATCTGCCTGGAGAAAGCGGGAAAGTGGGTCTAGGTCCTGGGCCTTGAGTGGATTCCATACTGGGAAACTGGCCTGGATACAGGAAACAGAAATCCGACGGCTTCCCCGCAAATGTCTGGGGTCAGAGAGGTCCATTAAAAGTAAAGGGGAGTGTTCTTTTAGGAGCGGAAGAGTTTTGGAGACACAATCGAGCAGTAGGGATCATGAAAAAACTCAGGGATGTAGCCGTAGGGCTGGGGCTCAGAAACAGGTTCCAATCTATAGATTGTAAAGAAAAAGAATTAGTGAGAATAAGTCAGGGGTTCCAGTTTAAAGTAAGTGAACAGAAGGTCAAGAAAAGGTGAGTATCAGTTAGGAAGAACTTAGCCACAGATCACGAGGGACATTTGATAAGAGTTCTAATTGTTAAAAGTTGAACATTTATAGACCCAACAAAATTATGTATGCTGCTTCTCATTTCCATTTTTGCTTGTGTGCCTAGGTGGTCAGGATGTGACTTCAGAGGGAGCTGTATTTGACACCAACAGTCTCATCTTCTTATGGCATTTTGTTGATTCTTCAGATAAATATTATCTTCTCTGGTCTCTGTGTTATTCAGTCTCTTTCATAAGATGCTAATGGTTCTTTGCCTTAAAAAGCGTTTCTTGGCTCATCACATGCCTAATAATCTGATTTAGGCCTTGTAGATACTTGGAGGGGGTTGGAAGGAGAATGCAACCATATTCACCTTTGCCTTTGGTTATTACAAGCATACATTTGTTAGATTCTCCATACTTCTTGATAAGTGTGATATCAATCATACTGATTTTTGATGGTCTACTGGGCTATGTTTTTTTTTTTCAACTGCAACCATTCTTGGTAACTCATAATCAAGTTTTTTTTTTAAATATTTTTGATTGTCATGTTCAATAGGATCCAACTGTTTAAGCAAAAATCAGTAAAAAACACTCATACATTATTAGCAGTAAAGATAGCTTTTTAGTTCTAACCAAGATTGATTTAATTGGCTCCTGGGACAGAATTTGTCCCTGACTGCGGAAGGACTACCTTTTGTGCAAAGGACGAGATTGAGACAAGGTGGTAAACAGGTGGTAATATCCATGGGCTGGTAGTGGAAATGGTGCAGGATACCAGCAGTCCCACACAAGGAGGAGATGTGACCAAAGGATTCTCCCCAGCAAACGACACCGCTGACTTACAAGTCCTGGCAGAACGTCGGCATTAGGAGACAGCACCCCTCTTCTTGTTCTTTTCTTAATTCTTCATTTTGTAAATAATTAACTCGTAGTCTTGTAGGAGGCAGAAGGAAATCAAAACATCCTTTTCATCACATTAAAATGTAAGCGTGAACGTGGGGCCACGGAGGACAGAGGAAGCTCTGCCCTGTCGTAGTCTCACAGTTCTGAGACTAATGGCGTCCTCCCTGATGGAGAAGTATGGAGAAGGGGCAGATTGAGAAGAACACAGGGCTGGTCTTCTTCTTCTTCTATAGGTAAAATACTGGGGTTCTCCAGAATGTCAAGTATCTTCATTTTCAAACGTAAGAATTTACAACCATTTCAAAACTCAAGAGAAACCATTTGTAACTCATCTTGGACTTTATCCATCCTGCCACGACCCTTGTTTGTGGTGTGATTAGCTGCCCGTGTTTAGAGAACAGAATGATTCTCAGAAATACAGAAGCTCATGTGAGTCAGTAACATTTGACTTCCCATTGCCCTATTAAAAAGAAATACTTAGGGCGCCTGGGTGGCTCAGTTGGTTAAGCGGCTGCCTTTGGCTCAGGTCATGATCCTGGAGTCCCTGGATTGAGTCCCGCATCAGGCTCCCTCCTCAGCAGGGAGTCTGCTTCTCCCTCTGACCCTCCCCCCTCTCATGCGCTCTCTCCCTCTCTCATTCTCTCTCTCAAATAAAATCTTAAAAAAAAAACATTTAAAAAATGAACTTTTTTAAAAAAAGGAAATATTTTATTCTAAAATCAAAGCAAAACAAAGTAATATAGATGTGTAGAATCCAACAAATAAAAAATAGAGAGCTTGGCCCCTGGGTAGTGACAGGTTGTATACAAAATAAGCCTGTGATGCTTCCTTTCCCCCAGTTCTGTGAATGCCTTATATCCCCCAAGCTGAGACTTTTCCAGGTGCTCTAATAAGTGTAATAAACACACACACACACACAACTATCTCCCCCCTCCCCCATACTTGCTGTCCCCTTCCTCCCCCAGTACCTTCCCACCACACCAAGATTTTCTATGATCCAGGAAGAGCTGCTTATCAGTTGCCAAAGAAGGAGTTGGTGAAACCCACATAGTCATAGCCAGCGAGGTGACTTCGGCCGCGTGGGTCCACATACTGCTGCATGTGCGAGGCACAGAACTGCACCTGTTCTGGGGTTAGGGCCTGAAACACAACAGAGAGAGATACAGTCACAGGGCTTAAAAATAGCAGCTCCTTGGGGCTGGCAGTAGGCCCCGAACCCGGGACCCAGGGGGCAGAGAAATGGGGAAGCAGCAGCCAGCCCTGTTCCCATCATAGACCTTCTCAGAAGTTTGTAATTTCTAATGAGTAAGACCAGCTCATCTCTTCAACTCAGTCCTTACCTGAGGAGTCTCATCTCACTTGGACTACACACTTTATCCCATTCCCTAAATTTGGGTTATTCAAGAAATGGGAAAAGAAATAGCCTTAAAAATTGATTTTCAGATTTGGAATTGACCCGTATGGTCATTAGAGAATGACTATAATTTTCAAGCTGGGACAACACAAAATGAAGTGGCAAGCAAAGCAAGTGGTAACTTGTGCAGGACAATGTCTGAGCCAAAAAAAAAAAAAAAAATGGTGGGTGGGAAGGGTAGTTGCCAATGGTGGGCAGCCAGACCTGAGACAAGCACACTGTGGATTGCCATGAGAGCACAGTGACGCTAGACGCAACTGGAATCTGACCTGCTTCATGTCCTCTTTGGTAATATAGGCCTTGCCCTCTGCCAGGGCTTGGAAAGCATTCTCGATTTCATCACTGGACTTGATGTTCTCTGACTCCTTGTCGATCAGGAATGAGGTGTAGTCCTCCAGGGAGATATAGCCCTTCCTGTGGGAGAAATGGGCTCCCCTCTCTGAGACTGTGGGCTGTGACCTCTACATTGACCCCACTCCTCACGCCCTTGCAGCGAAGTAAACGCTGCTTCCCAAGCCCCAGCCTCCCTGCCCACATGAGCCCTCTGGCCGGACTCTCCACACAGTCTGGGAGTCTCCATCAGCACCTGTCCCCAGGCACTTCAAGCTTTTCAAGTTGAGTTGAAGACCTCTGTTTCTGGTCTTCTGTCATCCTTGGCATTAGAAAGATTTCGTCCCTAACAGTGACGGGATCCCTCCATGACTGTACTCCATCCCCACAAGCATACAACCCCACTCCCATCAGTCGGCCTCCAAATCATCCAGGTCCCCTTAGGACCTTATACACATGGAAGGATTCTTCTTTCAAGGTCCATTCTCAGGACGAGCTGAGATTCATAGGTCAGACGGAAACCAGGAATTGAGCAAATTACAGAGACTGTGCCTGAGTTGGAGTTGGTGCCATGAACTTCTGAGCTAATCCTGCAAGGGCACCAAAACCTGCCCAATTCACTTACGGTAGTCTGTATCTTCCTATTCTCAAGAGGAATTGGTTTCATGTTTTATGGATCATTTTACTCTCTGTGCCTGTTTCTCTAAACCCCATTCCCTACGATGGTCTGGCCCTTGGTCTTCTTCCTACCTCCCCGGATCAACGACATCCAGGAACTTCTCAAACTTGGGCTCACGTTCATCCTCCTCCACCATGGGCAAGTAATAATTGAGCCCTCTCAAGCAGGACCGGAAATCTTTGTGGCTCAAGCGCCCTGTCAGATTCTCATCAAAATGTCTGAAGAACAAAAACATTTTGTCAAGTTCAATACAGAACCAGATTAGAATAGAAAAGAACAGTTCTTGTTGGGTCAACTGAGGCTTTAACATGTCACAGGTCATCAGAAAACCAAGTGGGGAGCTTGCCTCTGTTTCTGAACTATTTTTAACCCAGTGAATGGAGCAAAGACAGTAAAATGTTGAGCATGAGAGAAATGTATTTTCAGGAAGCTCATAGACATATTAAAAGCCGTGCCTTGAAGCTAATTAAGGAGGGCAATGCCTTATCCATTAGGCCACTGGGGCTTCTGTTCTTGAAGCTAATTAACAGATCTAGATCTTCATTTAAGATCCTACCATGCCAACACTGAGGGGAAAAAATTAGCTATTTGGAGATTCATTCTGAATGGGTTGGAAAACAAAGAACCGATCAACTATGAAGTCATACTCACTTATAGGTTGTGCTAAACTCCTTTAGTGTCTCTTCACTCACACCTATGGTGTCTCTGAAAAGGAAAACATGATTAGCCCATGAAATAAAACAGGAAAATAGCGGAAGACATGCCATGTGGAATAAAGAGGGATGTTAGTGGATGTTATGCTGCTCAGGTCATCCGATTCAGGGGTTGGCAAACTATAGCCCATGGGCCAAATCTAGTCTGCCACTTGCTTTTGTACAGTTTAATGGGCTATGAACGGCTTTTACCTCTTTATGTGGTTGAAAATAATCAAAAGAGGAAGTGTTTCCTTAAACATAAAAATTGCTTGAAATTCAAATTCCGGTGTTCACAAATAGAATTTTATTGAAACATGGACACACTCATGAATTTGTGGGCTGTCAATTGCCCGTTCTCTCTATGACAGCGAGTGAGTAGTTACAACAGAGGCCACATGACTCACCACGGCTGACACATTTATGATCAGTCTCTTTATAGGAAAAGTTTGCCAATCCCCCATCTAGACAATAATGCTGCCATTATTACCAAGGCCTAAAGCTGCTTTGATATAATTAATTTATTTAGAAAAAAACAAGTGAATTCTGCTCTTCTGGCTCTACACCTTGAATATTTCTTGCATTCTAGACATTTGAGAGGAACTTTTACAAAAGGGATGACTTCCTGAAGAGATTGCATAAGATGGTGAAGGGACCCTGAGAACTGGGTGGTGAATAGCTTCATCGGGATGGGAGCATGGTCTCCTGTTTCATAACAGACTCCCAAATAAAAAGGAATAGTCATTATGTGGGACAGAAAAGAGAGAGAAAGAGCATTTTGATTCCAGAGATGATGTGGGTACTACCTCTGAAGCAGCTCTTTTATCCAGTAACCCAAACTCTAGCCCCTGGGGCTAAGTTCTGACACCTAATCCCACGCACACCCTGCCCAGCCCTGGTCATGGGTCTGCAGTACTTGGCTTGGATCTGTTGTTCCAGGTTGTGCTGCATCCGCATGCCCAGCTGGTGAAGTTGGTCCCACTGCTGGGCCAGCCCGATGGTGCTATACTTGATGTCCAGGACCAGAGCCTCTTCCAAGCTGTCTCCCAGATCCTCGATCTTGGTCAGCTGGCGCTTCATGGCCTGGATCTCCTTCTGCTTCCGCTAGAAAGGACAAGAAGGAGAGAGGCAGTCATGCAGGGTACCAGCTCCAAACCAAGGGATGGTAGAGAAGATAAGAAGCTGATGAGTTTGTATTTCCCCTAGTTGCTCCTTTTTAATTATTCTCAGGACTCTTCTTGTCCTCTATGAAAAATGAACTGTTCAGGAAATCCACTTCCGTATTCCTCACTTATGTGACGGTGGGAAGGTTAGGTGATGTGACCTTGGTCATTCTGGTCAAGAGTTAGTAGTTACATGCTGCAGAGGAGAGGAGGAGCATTCCCAGGATGCCTGCATGGCTGGCTCCCAGAGATCGGCACCACGAGTTATCCACGCTGGGGACTGTGGCTGAGCTCCAGCCGGCTCCCCTGCGGCCACGCCAGCAGACTTCCACAGGATGCACCTGTCCTCCAGGCACATTCGATGCCAACCGCCTGCATCCAGGCCATGCTTTCTCCTGAGTAAGGGAGGAGTGAATGGGTTCTGAGGATGGGGGTGGGCCGAGACACTAAATGTATTACAAGGTACAAATGCCTGTGACCTTCCAGAGATCAGTCCCACCTGACAACATCTTCCTCTTTATTACTGAAGTTCTTTCATTAGGGACTAATTAGATTTAATTAATTAAATGTTCTCCTTGAGGTGGGGCAATAATGAAAATAAGGTTAAGAAACACTGTTCTAGCCCATTGCTTCACTCAACTGTTGAAAGATCATCTGGATTTAAGTATATTAGCAAATGATTTCAAATGATGATGGCTCCTGCACCTGTTTTCTTTCTTAATTATCACAGCGACTCTGTGACGCAGGTATTATGAGCTCTATTGTAATGACACAGAAATTGAGGTTACTGAAGTAAACTGATGGCTGTGCCCATGGAGCGGCGGTCAACAGCTAGAATGCAAGTTGCTGGCAGGGTTGGGACTAGACCCTGAAGTTCTTGACCTTCAGGCTGGGGAGTTTACTTAAAAGTACCACTAGGGTTGCCTTTAAGGCGCTTTCCTTGCACTCCTTGTAATTCTGGCAATATCCTCAGCTAATAAGCAAACGTTACTTACTTTATTTGCTTCCAGCTGGGATTCCAGAGTTCCTGTTTCTTTGAGCAAAGACCTAGTTAAGAACCAGAGAGAAATGTTATTCATAATATCAGAGGTCAATATTTCATCCAGACTGATTTCAACACCCTACATTTCTCTACTTCTATGTCTATTATATGGGTTCTCTGAAACGAATTTTCACACTAGAGTTTCATGAAACCAAACCCTTCTGTCAATTGGCAAGTTGCTAGACAGATAAGAAGAGAAGGAAGGTCTGCCCTCATTCTTCTATATCTACGAGAAGGCTTCTGTACCTTCCTCCTGGTTCTTACTCTCAAATATACCCTTAACCTAAAAACAAAACAAACATAATAACATAAAATACTGACCCGTCCAGAAAATAAGCCCTGGGCATGCAGTTCCAGAACAGGAATCAGACGAGAGAAAAGAGATATCACACATTAATACAAATTACTTCAATGATCGTCTTTCCCTAGATTTATGGAATATTCCAAATCTAACAGGAACCGTTTCACACTGCTCCCAGAGTCTCTCCCTCTCGGAGGAGCTCAGATCCTGTGTACACCTGCTGTCTTAGGACGAAGAGCTCGGGTGTCAGGTGATGAGCTCAGTGTTGGGCACACCCTGCCAGGGGATGAGGGACAAAACCAGAGGCAGAGGAGGATGAACTGTGCTTCCTCTGCCTTCTGCCAGATAACTTTTAGCTGTGACACAGGATTTCCTTTTGCTCGTTGTCTGGTTTTCCTTGTTGGGTTTGTAGAAACAGTATATATCACGGATTGTCTAAACCACCCCTTTAACTCTCAAAAGCCCACATTTCTGACCCACCTACTGGATACTGTCTGCTGACTTTGACATTTATTCTAATGGATTACAACCCTCCAGGTCTCCTTTTCCAGGTCATTTGCCCTGGAAGATGTGACAAATGCTATTTTCATGTATAAGACATTCTGCCTTTAACAAAAGCAATTAGCGTGGAGTATCTCACCGATTCTCACCACAGCTTCATGGTCAGGCAGCGTGACAGCTTCCTAGTTTCACAGTAGGCTCTGCCTTTGGTCATGACAATAAATACCCATGTGACCTTGAGCAAGTCCATTTGTCTACTGAGCTTCATTCCACACTTGGAGACAGAGTAATCACATCTGCTCTGTACACTTTTCAAGGTCGCAGGAAGAGGTAAGGGAGGTAGTGGGTATAGAAGCACTTTGTAAAGTGCAAACATAAGGGACTGTGTTATTTTAGACTTTAATTACAGGCAACAGGGGAAAAAAATGAGAGTTACCTAGGAGAGAATATGGACATGTAGACAATGGGCAGTGGTGTGACATTCTCGTTTCTTGATTTTGCAAGGATTGATTTAGAAAACCATCAATTCCAGATGAAAAGCACAGACAGGATATGGTGATGTTAGAACAACATAAATGCTGTAGGGCCCCCTCCTGCTCCCTTCAGATATGTATTGCATCCCTGTGGGGACGCAGGGATCATGGGTTTGGAGGCAGCGCTGCGTACCTGGTCTCCAAGATCCACTGAAGGAAGGCACTGGCATTCTGCTCAAACTCCTGGCGCATCTCAAAGTTCTTGACCTGTCTCGCCTCTTCCCTTTGTTGCTCCTGCTCCCGTTCCTAAAACCCCAAATCACAGATAGTGGAGTGAACACTGAAGACCTTTCTTTGCAGGAAAATAGCTGGTTCTGGGGCTCAGCTGCGCAGCTCCCCTCCTCCCAGTCTAACCTATTTCCCAGAAGCATGTGCTACGTGCTTCTACTTCCTCCTGCCCACCTCTCCTGCCTCCAAAGGGGAAGGAAGCTCCCGTCATGCCTGAAAGTACTTGCAGGTGTCTCTAAGACCAAGCCCAGTGACAAATAAGCTAGTAATAAAGGCAAATCGTCCTCTTCTCATTTTTTTCTAGGTGAAATCTTCACTTAAATGAACATAAAAGCAGCCTTAAAAGGAAAAGCAGTAACGAGCTGCCGCTCCCCCTGCTTGTGCTCGCTCGCTCTCTCTTTCTCTGACAAATAAATAAATAAGATATTTTTTTAAAAATAAAATAAAATTGGTGATATTTTGGTGAAATTCTTCTTTGTGAACCTTTTTAATATTTTCCATAGTTTCTATGATGAATATCATTATAGACAGATAAAAATTATACACAAACATATTAAAAAGGCACTTCGGAGGTAGGTATAAAATGGGGGGAAATCTATAGACTGTGAACTTATATACAAACCTCATGAACTTTCAAATCTCATGTTTAGAGCCACCTCCTGGAGCCCGTGTTTGCTTCCTTGAATCATTGTTCAACACCCAGAGGCATGAGAGGGTCTGAATTCCGGGGCGTAGGACTATACCCACTGTGACTATATTTCTAACATTTCCTTAGCCAGCTCCGGTTCATGACTGCTGTCCCAACATAGTTATTAACTGTGTCCTTTCTTTCTCAAAAGTCCCCCCAACTTGTATGATAAGTTAGGTGGCCATGCTCACCACCGTGGAAGGAAGTCTTCATTACCTTGATGACATCAGACAGGTGCTTCCAGAACTTCTCTAGCACCTCCATCGTTAACCAGGTGTAAGGGCTGGAGGGCACGTTTAAGGCCTTAATCTGCTGGTCTAGCTCTAGGAGATCGTTGAAGTCAGATTGGGCCCCGGCCAAGGAGGCCAAGAAGGCCTCGTGGTCCTTCTGCAGCTGCCGGATCTCGTTCAGGGAGACACAGTGCACAGGTTCCGACAGGTCCTCCTCGGTGTTCTCACACCAGTGGTTGAAAGCGGAAGCCTTGTGTGCAAATTCCATGAACAGCTCTTCAGCCTACAGAGAAAAAAGTCACCTCCATCTTTCCCGATAAAGCCCCTCAGCAAAAGAGAAGACTGAGGACTAAAAAAAGAAAAAGACCATATTCAAATATTTTCAGGGTCAGCACTCCAAGAGGGCAGAACTGAAACCACCGAGGACATGAAATCAGTGGGCAGGCAGGTGCATTTGAGGCACCAGCCCAGGTCCTGGCCCCCTGGTGTGAAACTAGTCAAATCTGTCATCTACAAAGAGGCTGAAGGACTCCTAGGGTTTTTTTAGTGCTAAGAGTCCAAATGAAGCAAGGGCCATTTTCAGTGATAAGATTTCATGATTTCTTATTCTGAAGTTGGAGCCCTAGTTCTTCCCGGCACCTGGTAAACATACAAAAGTAGGTGTTAAGTGAATGAATGCGTGAATCACTGAATCCACAGATCATTGATGGGATAGGCCCGTCTCTCCCATTCCCTGTTTGCTCCTTCTTTCTCTCCTCTGCTCTTCTGCACACCACGCCTCTCTGGTGTCTTTGTCTGTACCGAGTCCTTTTTCTGCCTTCCTTCTAAAATGTGTTCAGGGCTCAACCCAGTTCCTACCCTCTAATCTGTAGCCTTATCCCTATGTTACTGTCTGGAGTTATCCAGATGCTCTGAATGACTGAATTGTCAGCATTTCTGAACAAGAAAAATAGTATGGATGGTTCCAAACAGTAGGTGAGCAAAAATAGTTTTATTTTTTATTTTTTTTAAGATTTTATTTACTTATCTGACAGAGACACAGTGAGAGAGGGAACACAAGCAGGGGTGAGTGGGAGAGGGAGAAGCAGGCTTCCCGCCGAGCAGGGAGCCCGATGTGGGGCTCGATCCCATGACCCTGGGACCATGACTTGAGCCAAAGGCAGACAGACGCCTAATGACTGAGCCACCCAGGCGCCCCCAAAAACAGTTTTAGATTTAAAACACATCATAGATTTAGGGTAAGCAGTTCGTATTTCCCAAGAGATTTATCTGAGGCAAATATAAAAATGAGTTTTTGTTCCCAAAGGTGGAGATTAAAGAGGAGAAAATTGGCTCAAATGGAAGAGGGACTACAAAGGTATTACACCATTACATCTTACCCTGTACTCACTTCAGCAATCTTTTTGCTAAAATAGACCAGTATAGAGAAAGTTGATATGGCTCCCACACAGGAAAGACATAAAAACCTGCAAAGTACTTCATATTACTTTTGTAACATTATGGATCATCTGAGTATTTTACAAAGATTTTATAATCAGGAAATCAAATAACAAACCTCTTTGCAGTTTGAAAGTTAAGCAAAACAGAATCAGAAGGTAAAGTGTCTTTCTATGTAGAATGCATATATGTGTGTAAAGTTGCCCATAAATTGATCTAATTTTTCACTTAAGACTATTTCTGTAGGTAACAAGCCCTTCAGTAATTAGCTAAGCATCCAGACTGACTGATTTTTATCTGTGTGTTTGTCTCCTAATTCCCCTAATCGCCCACCTTCACTTGCTGCCTGGTATAATACTTCTTATAGTCTTCACTCAGCATCCTGATTTCCTTTTATTATTGATATTTTTTATGATCAACATCCAGTACCTTCACAGCCACCACTAGAAAGAACATTTTCATCACTTAAGCCTATATAGAACTTAGTGGCATGCACCGCATTTTCAGATCCATTATCTCTCTCAATCATCATCATGCAGACCAGCAGGAGACAGTGGTAACATGATCGTATTTCATAAATGAAAGAATCAAGGCTCAGAGATGTGAAGTGACATCTCTCAGCTAGGTAAGGTCAACACAGGATGAGAACTCGAGTGTTTCTTAGCGAGTGCTCCTTTTATTTGGTTAGAGAAAAGCGTAAGTCCTGCCAGCTTAGTTTTTCCATCCACCAGGACCATCCGCCTTTTTGTCCTTTTATTACATGTGCCTGGCATCCATCTCAAGTCCGCTGCATAACTGACAAATCAGTCTTAAAAAACCCTGATTACTTCCTGTTCAATAAGAATGCCCTCCTGCTCCTTTCCATGCACTTACTCTAATGTCTATAGTTTATCCAAACAGGAGTTCCAGTGGAATCCATTTCTGGATTCCATGACTAATATACAGATAATTGAGGCCTAATCGTGGCTTTTTTCTTTTACCTGCTGTAGGGGCAGCTGCTTCTCTAGCAACTTCTCTCTGTGGGCTGCAGAAGCTTCCAGCAGCTGTTCCCAGAGCCTCAGCAGAGCATCATGGCGCTCCTCAATGGCTTTGGTCTGTCTGTGCTGAGCAGCCACCAGTTGGTCCTTTAGGTCAGTTATCTCTGACAGTCTGTCTTTCTGGAAGCTCTGCAGACTGGCATCCAGAGTGTCCTGGGGAAGACCCAAAGAGAAGCTGTGAACGGAAAAACAATGTAGGTTCCCAGGGACCATTCACACCTGGGTTCCACCACATTTTTATCATGGACAAGATAAGGTCTAGGAAAGAAATAGAGTGAGGACCAAGCAAAAGGAAACATAACTTAGAGATTTAAGTGAATATTTGTGGTTGGAATTATGGCTAAGTTCTGGTGGATGCATGTTTCACAATCAGAGCTTAAGTTAGGTATATAATTAATATTAAGGGAATATTGGAGCATGATATGATCTTCATTTTTTGAGTCAAGACTAAATGCTTCCTACGGCTCACATCCTTTCTAAGACTCTTTTACATCCCCTGTTATATTTTGTGTACTGATTAGCAGCAGTGCATACTAGAGATCCTGGAAGTACACACACTAACAACAGGGACAGTTACACAGTGTGTGTGTGTGTTGTTGATACCAAAATCACAAAATTCTGGATACTACACTTCCAGCTTTACAGGGTGGCTTGTATTTGACCAATTCTGCCTTTGAGAACAACTTTAATTGCTGGATAAAAGTACAAAGTATCAGCTGTTTGAAAGAGATCAGAATGCAACTCAGGTCACTACACCTCAAGAATCAAAACTCTAGAGAGGTGAAATAGTAGTAAAATCAGAGTAATATTCTCTGTCACCTTTCCCTATGACATGTGGGCTGCACAGGCTAAGAGACTGAGGGGAAAGCAGCTGCTCAGAGCTCTTGATAATCTCATGAAATCAAAGAGACAGTTTCTGGGAAACCAGGCAGCCAGGATTTGAGCAGCTGTGGAAAAAGAACTGCAGAAAAGTTCGTTCAATCATCTACCTGCTTTCCCCTCAAGGCATCTATGGGTTCCTAAACTCTATAGGACAGGAGTCCCAGAAGCCAAGCAGAAAAACAGTAGCAAATAGAGATGCTAAGTAGACTCCTCAATAGCCTCACAGTGCTGAGTTGAGGACACAAAGAGGAGTAGCTCCAACGAAAGGGATTTAGTTGAACCCTTGAAAGGCCCTAGGAGTAAAAGCCAACTGAAAAACGCAAGTCCTCAAAAAAAAAAAAAAAGATTATGTCTTGAATCATTTCAGTCCCTGGCCAAAAGTAGGGGTTGGATGGGGGAGGGGGGGGTGGAAGTGTTAAATTATAACTTTAAATCAAAATTCACGAGTTACATTATTTTAAATGTAAGTGGACTCACTATTGCAACAAAATGATCTAATTAGATAAATAAACAATACTCAACTGTGAAATTTTAGGAGACATAATCTAAAACATAAAGACACTCCACATTTCCATATTCATTGCAACATCATTCACATTAGCCAAGATATGGAAACAACTTGAGTGTCCATCAACAAATGAACAGATGAAGATGTGATGCATGTGTGTGTGTGTGTGTGTGTGTATGTAAAATGGAATATTATTCAGCCATGAAATAGAAGGAAATCCTGCCATTTGTGACAATTTGTATGAAACTTGAGAGCATATGTTAAATGAAGTAAGTCAGACGGAGAAAGACAAATGCCATTTGCTATCACTCACAAGTGGAATCTAGAAGAGTCAAACAGAGAAACACAGTAGACTGGTGGTTGCTAAGGGCTGGAGGGTGGGGGAAATGAGGAGAAAGTGGTCAAAGGATACAAACTTCCAACTAAAAGAATGACTGATTCTGGGACACTAATGGACAGCAAGATGATTACAACTAATAATACTGTATTATATACTTGAAACTTTTTAAGAGAGTAGATCTGAAATGTTCTCAACACAAAAAAGAAGTGGTAATTACATGATAGGATGGAGGTGTCAGATAGTTCTACAATGGTAATCACTTTGCAGTGTATAAATATATCAAATCAACAATAAAAATATAAAATATAAAGACGTAAATGTAAAGAAAGAAAAAAATTAAAGGATGGAAATAGATATACACTTGAAACACAAAACAAAACAAACAAACAAAAAACCTGGTACTCTAGTATATGAAAAAGACTTTAAATCAAGAAATGTTATTAGAAAGAACATTTCATAATTAAAAGTATCAATTCATCAAGATGATTTATAATTCTAAATGTCAACACACCTTTGTACCTAACTTCAAAATATATAAAAATTACAAAGTATTTAAACAACACGATTAACAACCCAAATCTGACAGGTAATATAAACCACTGTAAAATACACATTCTTTTTGGGGCACCTGGGTGGCTCAGTTGGTTAAGCGTCTGCCTTCAGTTCAGGTCATGATCCCAGAGTTCTTGGATCGGGATCCCTGCTCAGTGGGAAGCCTGTTTCTCCCTCTTCCTCAGCCATTCCCCCTGCTTGTGCTCTCTTACTTTCTCTCTCAAATAAATAAATAAAATCTTTAAAAAAATGCACATTCTTTTCAACTGTAAATAGACTATTCACCAAAACGTACCATTTGCTGGATGTAAATCAAGCTTCTAGAATAATATAGAATGTGTTTTTAAAACAAAGTGGAATTAAACTAGCTATAAATATCAAAAAGGATAATGAGAAAACTCCCAAGTGTTTGGAAATTCAGCAAAATACACTATGGAATAACAAATAGGTTAAATAAGAAATTAGAAACAACAGAAACATTTTATTTGAGTGATACTAACAGAAGTAACATATGAAATTGTGAGGTGCAGCTAAAGCTCTGCTTAGAGGGAAATTTATATCCTTACATCAAAATGCTAAAAAAAGGAGAATGTCTAAATATTTGATGATCTAAATATTTACCCTATGAAATGTTTTAAAAAATAAGTTAATCCCAAATAAAATAAAATGATAAAGATATAAAAAGATATTAATGGGATATAATACAAAGATTATAAGAAATACAAAGAAAAATAAAAACCCAAAGTTGGTTCTCTAATAAAAATGATGCTCACTTAGCAGCAGCAAGACTGGTGGGAGGGAGAGGGAGAAAAAACTAGCAAGTTACCAAATGGGAAGGGAAAAAAGCAGATCCTACAGACAAGAAAACCACAGAATTGGGGAATGGGATAATCCTAGTGTTCAGCTTCTGTGTATGTGGGCCATGGACGTGCCTGGCACCTGCCCAGGGGCAGTCCTGTTCTCACCTGCTTTGCCAGGAGAGTGAGGGAGGCAGCGAGGTCTGTACAATTGCCATTGGTCTTCAGACTTTCTTCTTTTTCAGCTAGAGAGCAAAGATGATTGATTAGAGGGGAAAAGTAGTTGCTCTTGAATCGGCCTTGATAAGGAAAAAAAGAAATATTTACTCTATGGCACAAGAGAGCCTCCTGACTCTGGGAGTGGATCATTTATTGGAATATGGGAGCAGTAGGGGTGATGGATGGTTTCTCTGGACTTATGCAGCATAGAACTGACTGGAACAGAGCTAGGGCCAAGGGAACTTGTGAGTGTTTTGGAAAACAGAGTAAAATTGCAAATTAGACATAATTTAGAAGTAATCGAACACACTGTTTATTTTTTAGAATGTTTTGCCATGGCTCTGCCCTTTTAAATATCACCGATGAAACCACCAATTCCCCTAAAATGTGTTTTCTGGAATTCTGGTTCTCAGTCACCCATCAGCATGTTTTCTGGGGCATGTGTGTGTAATTGTGTCCAGAAAGGGTAAGAGTGGATAAGGAGGGAGTATCTCTCTTCCATGGGAAGTGAGAAAATCCCAGAACCTTTCTATCAATGGAATTTACCAGTATTTCCCCTGGTCTTCACACGTCATACCTATCCAGGCCTCCACCACATCAGCCTTCCAGTTAAACTGCTGAAAGGCATAATCCTCTTCCAGTTGTGACTTCCAAGCATTTATCGTGCTGGAAAGAGAAGGGATCTTTTCTTTCAGAGACTCTATCTTGGCAGAAATCTTCTTGTGCTGAATTTTCTCCTGCAACACCAAGGTAAAGGGGAGAAGAAGAGACAGATATATGGGTGGATGTCCAGAACTAGAAGTTGAAATTCTTTAGTATGATAAAAAGGAGTCATCTCTCTCATTCCAAATAAGTAACTACTCTCCTCTGGGTCTAGTGCATTTATCTTATTTTTCATCCATGCCTGGGATGGTTATTTCCACTCTACCATTTGGAAGATCTTCTCGCGTTTGTCCACATAAGTAAGGCCTTCATAGTTGAAGTCCCCTCTGTTCAAGGCTCTTTGTATAGCACTTAATCAGTGAGGATTTGTAAAAACAAGCATTTAAATAAAAGAATGATTTTCAAGTCACAAAGAGGTTTCAGTCTGATCCTCCTCCCTAGAGGCATACAAAGAAATTTATTTACATTTTTACAATACTCTATAACCAAAGCATGCCATAACATCTTTATAAATGCCATGTTCTGCACACAATGAGTAGGAGGTACAGCAAAGGATTTAAGGAAATCTGCAGGGTATATCTATAAGAACCTGAAAAAAGAATTTATAAAAAGCAGCAACTGAACAAATAATTATTTACTCAGAACAAAAACAACATAGCTAGTCAGAGAGTATGAAAATTCAATGTGTGAATTTTAGCACTGCTCATGATTCTATATTTGAACCAATCCCTTTTGGAAAATGAGCTTGGCCTGGAATCCCTGAGTTGCTCACCTTATTCAAGATGTCTTCTCCTTGAGCACATATATCTTGCACTCGGGTCTCATGGACAGCAAAGTCATTTTCCAATGTTTCATGCTTCTTTAGCAAGCTCTACATAAATGAGTCAGTGAGAATCAACACATCCAAGCCTGGACAATCTATCCCACCCCCATTCTGACTCCCATTGATGCTACCCACAAGGATGATTCAGTTACACTGGCAGAGTAGGGGAGCATCCAATTCTTCCTGCACAGAGCCACTAAATGCCTCTCCTGAAGCTCTTCATTTGCCAAAAGGGAAATCTTACCAGAAAAGAAAGAGACAAAGGAATACAGTGATATTCTTCCTAACTTACTATGTGAACTTAGGCTTTTCTGGACTTTAGAATGAGAGTGTTGGTCAAGGTAAAATATAAGAATTCCTCCATTTTGAAATTTATATAGTTCCATGAAACATTGTATCTAACAGAAAGATAATAAGTATCATCTTATACTAAGAACTGACTTAGGGACACCTGGGTGGCTCAGTCGGTTAAGCGTCTGCCTTTGGCTCAGGTCATGATCCCAGGGTCCTCTCCCTGCTCAGCAGGGGGTCTGCTTCTCCCTCTGCCCCTCCCCCTACTCATGCTCTCTCTCTCAAATAAATAAATAAAATCTTTTTTTTTTTTTTTTTTAAAGAACTGACCTAAAGGCAGCTAAAGAGAACACTGAGCTGTTTTGAATCTCAGTCTTAAACTTCTCTGTGCCTACCTGCTGCTGGAAGGATGGAGAATGGAGTGAGGATGAAGCCCAGGAGCAGTGTGTCTCCTCCTTCTCTATATTCTCCTGAGTGTTCTGGAGACCAGGCAGCTCTGCCCGCCGCCACCCCCAACCTCAAGGGCCTGGGCTGCCTCTGCTGTCCTTGCCTCCTCTCGTCACAAAGGCACCCCATCCACTTTTCCTTTTACATTGCTTACTAACCCGGGCCAAGGAAGAAACAGATTTTGTGCGACTATCATACTTTTAACCACCACATTTTGAAAATGTAAGAATTACTGATACATCGTGTTCTTAGGCATTAAAATAAGATGATTATTTCTTTAAATACCAGATGGGCTACATGATCTTGTATGACTGTATTATATTTCATCTTGATGCAGAAACCTTACATGGAGATTGGACACATGATCCACCATATAAAATAGACTGATTTAGCCGTGTTTTCACATACACATAACGCATGAAATAAAGTCTCTTCAACATTGTCACCTTCTGTTTCCAATCTCTTTTCTGTGCTTCCCCTTGGATACCTCAGAAGCTCATCAAACACAAGTTTCCTTTAAATAAAATCTAGGTATCCCTTTTTCAAATATATTCCTAACTAGCCTCCTTAATGTTGTATTAAAAGTTGGTAAGGCCAAAAGCTTAAAACATATTTTAAATACATCTAATGTATCTCATAATTGCAAGAAGTTGATCAGAATCATCTCTTCTTATATATTAAACAAAGGGAAAAGATGAGATCACAGGAAGAAAATTGAAATTCAACAATAGGTAAACAACTCTCTTTTCTTATATTAGCCAATCTATATGGGGTCAGGAAACCAAAAACTCAGAAAGTCAATTTTTTCTTCATGAAAGATGACATAGAAGGGCTAGGTAGGGCGCCTGGGTGGCTCAGTTGGTTGAGCGACTGCCTTCGGCTCAGGTCATGATCCTGGAGTCCCTGGATCGAGTCCTGCATCAGGCTCCCTGCTCAGCGGGGAGCCTGCTTCTCCCTCTGACCCTCCCCCCTCTCATGTGCTCTCTCTCTCTCTCATTCTCTCTGTCTCAAATAAATA